TGGGGAGTTTTATGACCCTTTGTGTGAAAGCATGGTAATTTGCATATGGAACTTGAATCGAAATTACTAAAGATTCTCAGAACACTAATATATTGCCTATGTACCAACATATAATATACACTCTCGTTTAGATCATCAGAAGACGAATTCATTGATACTAAACATGGTAGGATTTAGGGCTGGGTATCGTTCAAAATTTTTTGATATCGATACCGATACCTTGACTTCGATACCGGTTCCTGAACGATACTTTTTTCGATACCAATTTTATGAAATCAATTTTAACAAGATTACATTATCTAAAAAAAAAACTTTGGTTTTATTTTTCAGCTTGTTGATGTTTATACAAACTCAAAGACTCATCTCCTGAGCCACTGCACAAAGGAACAAAATGTAACCAACACAATAAATCAGTGCAAAATAGTTTTAATAAAGCTCAAATAGTCTTCAGTTTACACATCTGTTAGGCTACATTTACACTAGTTAGTGTTTGTTTTAAAACGCATAGCTCAGACAGAATCATGATTTCTATTTATTTTCCACTGATTTACTGATGAGCATTAGCAGCTTCCAGCGCTGTCTGCTTGTGTTCTCTCTTCCATGATCGCTGCTCTGACTCAGAGGTAATAACATATTTAATTTCAGCAACATTACATGGCCAAAACACACATTAGATGGCAGGTCCGGATTTACCTATTTTCGTGACGTAGAAAAAACACATTTTTGGTCCCCCTTCCCTATTAATATAATAGACCTAATATTACCACCCAAGCAAACAAAAATATTTCTTAATCAGTGGAAACCGATACAGTGTTTTCTATCGGAATAAGCGCTTGCGTTCAGTCAATAAAAATCGAATAGTTCTTAATTTGTTTGAGAACTGAGAAAGACCATACCATATAGTCGTGGCCACATAACCACCTCCGGGAGTGCATTATTTCTCTAATAATTTTAACGGCCTGGAGTCCCAACCACACATCAAGACATTGTTCAGATCATTTGTTTCAAGACATTTGACATGTTTCCGTCCTGAAATCTCGTGTGGGTTGAACTAATTTTTTTACGCACCTCATCCCAAACCTTCCGTTGCAAATTCCAAAACGTCATTTTAGAGCTGATAACAGAGGCTTGAGCCATTGATATGCAGGCTTACGCAGTTATTAATGCAGTCTAATGCGGTAGAGAGAGAGAGGGAGAGAGAGAGATTAAGTGCGTGTGAATACCTGCGTCTATGCGTCTCTCAGCAGCGTTCAGCAGCAGCGTCTTCTAATAGCGAATCTTTAAGTTAAACTCCTTCATGAACCTCGCTACTGAGAAATGTCATGTAGCTTTTCAGCTGCGAAACTATTTTACTGATAAATTCGCGGTGCAGCGCTGACAAGAAGTTTCTGTTCGCGTCTCCGCGTGTGTGCGTCTGTGAGAGAGACTGGGAGAAAGAAAGCGTGATTTCCGTAGCCTACATAAAAAAGGTGGAAGACATGGAAATAGTTTGTCATTTTTTACCCTATTGTTTGTTATATTTATTTGCTCAATGTCTTGAGCAATGCGTAAATCCGGCCCTGTTAGACGGCAATCGGAAGTTATTACAAACACTCGATGGTGGTTTAAAGTGAGTTTTGAGTAAAAGCGGAATATAAATCTTATTTATTGTCGTATGTAGCATGACGCTACAGTTTGCTTGAATGGTCACACAACACGCGCTTTCGGTCGTGTAACGTTAGTATGAACGGACATCTGCATATGATCGGAACTCCACGCAGCTCCCGCGCTACTCTATACTGGTGGTATTACAGTACCACGAGAGCTAAAGAGAGCAGACTGCTCCGTGCGCTTTCGAATCGCTCTCGCGGATGATCGATCTGCGCCGCACCTCTTCTAGTCGAACACACCGGCTAGTGCTGCAGGCTTATTGGCTCACTGACGCTGATGAGATTAACCCCTTAGGTATCGAAATTCGGTACCGAACGACAAGATGTTTTTCGATACTCGATGGTATCGAGGCAATTCGGTCGGTGCCTAAAAAGTATCGAACTCGATACCCAGCCCTAGTTAAAAAGTAACTAATATTATAAAACTGATATTTCTGACTCAAAATTCTGATTGAAGCCTCACTCAGAGCTTTTGTAAAATAGCACTTACATGCACAACTGTGACGCACTTCAATTTAAATTCTATATTAAAGGGTTAGTTCAACCAGAAATGAAACTTTTGTCATTATTTACTAATCCTCAAGTTGTTCCAATCCTGCATGAACTTCTTTGTCCTGTTGAACACAAAAGAAGATATTTTGAAGAATGTTGGTAGCCATTGACTTCCATAGTATTTTTCCCCCCATACAATGGAAGTCAATGGCTGCCACCAACATTTTTCAAAATATTTTCTTTTGTGTTCAACAGAAACAACATGAGGATGAGTAAATTAGGGCTGTTCCCTAATAGTTGACTAATCGTTAGTCGACCAGAAGAGGCTTGGTCGACCAAAATTGTATTAGTTGCAGAAAAATTTTTTTTTTTTAAAGTCCACAGGCGAAGTCAGGCAGTCCATGACGGACAGATCGTTAGCGGCTAGTCTTTGTGTTAATACAGTACATCCAAATGCTCGACTATCATTCATCGACCTCAAATATGGCTTATCATCTGAATTATGTAAGTATTAGCAACTTTACATGGCCGCTCAATCTAATGTTAACCTAGAGAAACGTGCGCTGTTGAAGTGTCTGTGTGGAGTGTGGAAGCTGAACAGCAGCGTGCTCACTGCAGGACAGATGGAGGCGCTGGTGCACTTACTTGCTCTTAAAATACTCTGTCATTTTTGGTCATACAGATCAGAGTAATACATCTTTCAAATCTGTAAAGACTCTACCTTTATTTGTGTGCACTCACAATAACAACAAAACATTACGCTTTTGTAAAATAATGAAAGCAAACAGGATGCGCTTTCTGCCGTCTCGGTCTCTGTGAACTTGAGTGCAAAACTCCGTGTATATCTTTGACTTACAGACATTAAAACTATATCTATAGAGAGTGAAATGTCTACTTTCAAATGAATCTGAAAAAACAAATATTCTCAGATTATGTATCCGTATGAAACATGCATACAGGTGCGTCCACTACTGCGGAGATGACGAGTCAGTGTCAGTGTCTCCGACTTCATCTCTTAAGCCGAAAACAAAGAAAGCACTAGTTTATCAAGAAATTATTGAAATGTTAATTCAGTCTCCTTACTGTTTTTCCCTGACACATTCATAATCATTACTTCTGCTGGTGCGCCGTGGCAAGCTTTATGCATGTGCTTGAGTGTTTATTAGGCTATATGCAATTAAAGGCTCATTATAATGATTTAAATGGTTTATTAATAAACGTGCGTTTGGTCGACTAATGCTTAAAATGAACGACTACTAGTCGACCAGAAAAATCCTTAGTCGAGGGCAGTCCTAGAGTAAATTATGACAGAATTTTCATTTCTGGTTGAACTATCCCTTTAATGTAGCAAATAACAATGCTGCTCGGCAAGCATAAACAATTAAAACATTGATTCATATTACATGCCTTAATAGCAAGTAAAGCAGTCCAGCCCATAATGGCTGTGTAGTTATATAAACACTACCGGTTAACATATTTCTGCTATCTCACATAAATGTGTTAACCAATAGCATCATACCACCCAGCACTAGTTGACACTGGTTTCCTCATGAGTCTTTTGTGTTTTCAGTGTTTTAAAGAACAACAGAATCATGCCCTCTGAGCAGCACTACACAGTAAGTAGTTTAATTCCCTTCCCTGCTGTAATTATCATTTAAGAGACACTGAACTATATGTGGTCCTTTGAAGATGAAGTAAATATTTTTCTTTGACCTTTGACCTGAGAGGTAGAGCACGTATAGTCTGTGATTGATTTATATATATGTATATTTTGTATATATTTAAATAATTCAGCAGCATGGGTTGCGTTAGAGTTGTTTACTGTAATGGTTCAGCCTGCTGTTTTCTGTTCCTGTAAGTGATTCCACAACTTGTGATTACGTGAATGATATAATTGAAATAATGATCAGGTTAAAAATTTCCCAAAAGTATCATGCATCTAATAAGAGGCCCCAAAGAATTTTCCTAAACCTCTGTGTGCGTTATTGTTGCCCAGCCTCAACATCAGCATTTCAACACTCATAGCCTGACGTTTTGCAATCTTTAGTTGCATTTTTTCAACTTCTCTATTTTTGGGCTGAAGTAAACAAGAATCTTGTAATTATGGTCACCTGTGAGTAAATTATTATTATTTTTTTATATAGCTGGATGAGGTGGAGACAGCCATTACTAGCTTCTACAATGTGAAGACAAAGATTCAGTGCGTCCATCCAGGAAAGGTATGAATGAAGAAAGACACCAACCTTTGTGGTTAGAAAAAAGGTTGAAAAGGTTGTTTGAAGATAAAAAGACAAGAACACAAAAAGGAAAGTGTATTAAATATTCCATTAACAGCAGAACAGTGACATACTGGTGATTACCACAAAAAAAATCATTTTGACTTGCCCCTTCTTTTCTTTAAATATGTCTGTTACAGAGAGGCATTTACAATGGAAGTGAATGGGTTTGATCCATAAATGGGCATTTCAGGAGTAGTATCACTATCAGGGTGTCCGCGGGGTCTTAAAAAGTATTAAAAGTTGACAAATCAATTTAGAGAAAATTAAGGCCCTTAAAAAGTATTAAAGTCTTAAATGCCATTTTCCAAGGTATTACATTTTGTATCATCTTTTCATTATGTATATTTGTCGAATAGTGGGGTTCTGTGTATTTTATTTATGGAATCCCGCAAGATTTGACGTCATCTGTTACGACTCTCACTGACTGACTGCGCCGCTGTGTGATAGCGCGGGGCTTGTTGATCCCGCTC